GGTGGAGTCCGGGTGGTCAACGGATCGAAAATGGAACATAAAGAATGGCTGAAGCGCATCAGTTCTGGTATAATCGCACCTGCGCAAGTTTGACCGCAGGTGCATGATCGCAGAAGCGAGGGAATGGTCGCAGGTGTGGTTTGGGCGAAGAAGGGTAGTGACCGCAGAGGAGACCGCAGAAGCAGATTTGGACTTGAGCCTGGGACCGCAGAAACGGCACATGCGCCGTAGAAGCGGGGCCGCATAAGGGGTCTATGCACCGCAGGTACGAAAATGCTGGAGGCAGTAAGGTTTCTTTAAAACGGGGATTTGGCCCATTCTCTTCCATTTTACTCTTGTTTGGATGATTTTTAGAAAGCTTCAAGTGGGGGTTTCATCATCAATGACAAGGTAAGCTATCCCCACCTATCTTGAGTTAAATACATTGATTATGTATAGATTTTACCATGAAAATTGGTAGAAATTTGGGAGTTTGAGAAAAACCTAGAAAATTAGTATTCTTGAATTTTGACCATGATTTTGGACATGAAATTGAGAATAAATTATATATTTGAGTTCGTGAGGTTATGGGTAAACTTTATCTTCCAAGAATTTTGGAATCCGGGAACGTGGGTCCGAGGGCAATTTTGTTAACTTTTCGATCGGGGTTAGGAATTGTTATAAATTGGATTATAATGAGTAATTGATCATATATTAATGAGTTTACATATTTACTGGCTAGTTTTGGAGCAATGTGCATTGATTTGAGTCTTCGGAAGGGCGTGAAATGTCGGTTATGGAACTTCGGAGCGAGGTGAGTCTCCTTTCGAACTTTGTAAGAGGAAAGTGTCTCCATAGGTGAATTAATTGGATATGTGCTCCTATTTGTGGGGGCTACGTACACACAAGGTGACGAGAGTCAGTGCATAGCTACTATTATGCATAAGTCCGGGTAGTCTAGGACCCAAAAGCATACTCTACTTGTAATATTTGGAATCTTATTGTCAATTTAAAATGCTTAAATCATATTGAATTGGTAAATGAATTTCTAAAGGAATTAAACATCGTTTTCTTGACCGTTAAAGAGAATTGCCATTTCTTTGGGTAATTGTTTTTCCCTAATGAAGTCTTGATTGACTATTTGAATGTGTGTTTCTATGTGTACCTGCATCGCATGTATAATTCGCAAGCGGGCTGATTGTTTATTTATATTTGGTCGCGTCGCATGTATGATTCGCGAGCGGGGTAATAGATGCATCTATGGTTCGTGTCATTTGATCCTCTGGCAGTGCACAGTTTAAATATTGTTGGATCGGGTCGTACATTCTCGACATGATTTGCGCATGCTTGTATTACTTGCCTTGATATTTGTAAATGAGGATATTGCTTCTCCGGATTGAGAATAAATGTATAAATGAGGAAAATATATTTGGGAATTTCCTATGAATAAAAGAATTGTAATAAAAGAATTGTTTGCTTGCTTCATGCTATTGAGTTACAACCATTTTTATAAACTTTATAAAAAATTTGGAATCCGGGAACGTGGGTCCGAGGGCAATTTTGTTAACTTTTCGATCGGGGTTAGGAATTGTTATAAATTGGATTATAATGAGTAATTGATCATATATTAATGAGTTTACATATTTACTGGCTAGTTTTGGAGCAATGTGCATTGATTTGAGTCTTCGGAAGGGCGTGAAATGTCGGTTATGGAACTTCGGAGCGAGGTGAGTCTCCTTTCGAACTTTGTAAGAGGAAAGTGTCTCCATAGGTGAATTAATTGGATATGTGCTCCTATTTGTGGGGGCTACGTACACACAAGGTGACGAGAGTCAGTGCATAGCTACTATTATGCATAAGTCCGGGTAGTCTAGGACCCAAAAGCATACTCTACTTGTAATATTTGGAATCTTATTGTCAATTTAAAATGCTTAAATCATATTGAATTGGTAAATGAATTTCTAAAGGAATTAAACATCGTTTTCTTGACCGTTAAAGAGAATTGCCATTTCTTTGGGTAATTGTTTTTCCCTAATGAAGTCTTGATTGACTATTTGAATGTGTGTTTCTATGTGTACCTGCATCGCATGTATAATTCGCAAACGGGCTGATTGTTTATTTATATTTGGTCGCATCGCATGTATGATTCGCGAGCGGGGTAATAGATGCATCTATGGTTCGTGTCATTTGATCCTCTGGCAGTGCACAGTTTAAATATTGTTGGATCGGGTCGTACATTCTCGACATGATTTGCGCATGCTTGTATTGCTTGCCTTGATATTTGTAAATGAGGATATTGCTTCTCCGGATTGAGAATAAATGTATAAATGAGGAAAATATATTTGGGAATTTCCTATGAATAAAAGAATTGTAATAAAAGAATTGTTTGCTTGCTTCATGCTATTGAGTTACAACCATTTTTATAAAAATTCTCGATTCACTATATTATTGGTATATCATTATTGGACCACTAGCAAGTGTCGAAGTCGACTTTTCGTCTCCACTTCTTCGAGATTAGACGGGATACTTACTGGGTACAGGTTGTTTTCGCACTCATGCTACACTTGCTGTACATTTTTATTGCACAGACACATGATATCTAGTGGCCTAGTTTGACGCAACAGCATGGTTGATGCGGAGATTTAGGTGAGCTACACTTCTCGAGACAATCTGCAGCCAGCAGAGTTTCCTTCAGAGTATTTTATTGTATTTTCTTTCTACTGTCCAACTTGTTCCCGGACAGTTATTGTATTGTTTTCCTAGAAATTGCTCATGCACTTGTGACACCGAGTTCTGGGATATTTATGGAATCATTCGGTATTTTAAGATTGTTAAAGGTATCATTATTTATTCAGTGAAATTTATCATTTATTATTTAATGTCTAAAAAGAAATGATTTCAAAAATATTAAAACAAGAAATTACTAGTTATTTGGTGTTGGCTTGCCTGACAGTGGTGTCCGGTGCCCGCACGATCCTTAGTGAATTTTGGGTCGTGACAAAAGGATTTTAGTTATTAATTATGCTATTATATTATTTTTTCCCTCTTTCTTCGCTCTCTTTTTCGTCCATTTTGGACAATCTTTGTGAGCTCGGTTGCTTTGACTTTTCAGTTCATAATTCAATGTTACTCCCTCCGGTCCATAATAGGTAATCTTTTCGCCTTTTTCTTATGGTCCTTCAAGAGTGAATTAATTATTTTTTCTTACAATACTCTTGAAGTAAATAGTGTTGGAGTATGCATTAAGAGTGTTTATGTAAAAGGATAGTAAAAGTTAATATGGTCAATTGAATTGTTAATTAATATTAAAAGGTAAATTTACCAGCTTCTCATTCATGGTTTGGTTGGTGATGACTGATTAATAGATGACTTGTCAAAATTTGTGTGATCTCACAAAGCTCAATAAGATCTATGACTACTAAATTCAATAGGATAGGTTTAGTGGCAACATCAAAAGTCACCACAAAAGCCCGTGGCTTTTAACAGGGCTATGGCGAAATATATTAGTTTTTGTAGCGACCCATTTTTAGTCATTCACTGATAGGTTGCTTTCAGCGGCGACAATTGTAATTGCTTCTATACCTTATCTTTTGGTGCGACCAAGTGAGTCGCCACTTAAAGTCGCCACTATAGATCAGCTTTCTAGTAGTGTGTTGCGTGGGTTAGTGACCAAAGTAGAGGACGGTGCCGTTGGTGGTTCTGATTTTAAAGCATTTCGACTGAATGTTTAATTTGCTATCTATATTTCTGGATTTGTTCTAATATTATTATGTTCTTTATTCCTATCATGGTATAATGAATATAAATAAATAGAGGGAGATACAGTAGTAGTGCATTTAGCAGGAGAAAACAAAGCAATTATTAAAGACTGAAGAAATTTTGCCTCTATCTGGTTAAAGAGGTGTTTAATGGTGATAAAGAGTTTAAGCCTTTCGCTAGTGAACATTTTTAAAGGGAAGAGAAAAAGTGTCAAAATAAAAGAATTAAAAATGAAAAATGATGGGAGAGACGCATTAGGAATGAAATCGAGGTAGATTATAAGGGTAAAAATGAAATGTCACTAACTTTATCAATTGGAATTTTGAAATTACATCTCACACGCTCAAAATTGACGACAACACATGCATAGTGACACGTCAGTTTCGAGTGTCAACAAGATACACTTATATCAAGTTGAAGTGCCTATATATGCAAAGTGGCTTACGCAAGATATTTTGTAACGATGTCACAATTAATTAATAGAGGATAACTCATAGAAGAAAAGGGAGATGACTAGAGAGATGGGAACTGAGTAGAGCAACATCAAGCAAATTTTGGCCTAATGGTTTATTCCTTAATTTAGCAGCTTAGATTGGCGGTTCAAATCCAACTTCAAAAATTTTTGGCTTTCTCTTTTTGTTAGCAACAAGGGAAAGGGGTGGAGAAAGTGAAAGCTCATGCTTGCAGGCGGACTCAATCCTTCGACCTTCGCTAGGACAACTAGAAGCCAGACCACTGAACTAATAACTGGATTTGACAAGTGATGTCACGTTTGTTCTTTTTATATTTTATGCACTTCGCATATCATCTATCATCAAATTTAGTAGAATTCACGTGACACCCGCTTCGACCTACATGCATCCGCCCTTATATGAGCACTCCCAAAGTTGAAGTGCTTGCTTATTAGTGAAGGCTAAGCTTGAGGGCTTGTTTATGTATTTGGCCAATTTAGAATAAGAATAAATTTATTCTATTTTCCATGGTTAGAGCATACGTTTTAGACCCTTTTCTCAAATTATTTGTCACGTCAACATAATAATCAAGTCCAAAGGCATTTAGGACCGCAAATAATTTAGGTGCAAATAAATAGTGTCCAGTTTAAAGGGTTTTTAGTTATTAATTATGCTTTTATATTATTTTTTTTTCCCTCTTTTCTTCACTCTCTTTTCGTCCATTTTGGACATTCTTTGTGAGCTCCGTTGCTTTGACTTGTTGATTTAAGGATTCCAAATTTCAGTTCNCTTTTAAAAGACAATTCCAAAGCTTGTTTTGTCCTTTTCAAGAAGAAAGCCTCACATTTCTTCATCATCATCATTGTATTTGAGGGAAAAAAACAACCAGTTTCTCATTCATGTTTTGGTTGGTGATGACTGATTAATGGACGACTTTTCAAAATTGGTGTGATCTCACAAAGCTCAATAAGATCTATGACTACTAAAGTCAATTGGGTCTTTAGATCTTGATTTGCTTTTTAGGGGTTTCTTATGTTTTTAGTGAATTGCAGTCCCTTAGCAAAATTTTGAAGCCCAATTGAGAAAGTTTGGTTCTTTGATGAATTTAGTAGCAAGATCTTGAATCCCGATTAAGAAAGTTTGGTTCTTATGTGAATTTTGTAGCAAAATCTTGAATCCCAATTAAGAAAGCAGGGTTCTTTGGTGAAGTTTGGAGCAAAATCTTGAAACCCAATTAAGAAAGTTTGGTTCTTTGATGAATTTTGTAGCAAAATCTTGAATCCCAATTAAGAAAGTTTGGTTCTTATGTGAATTTTGTAGCAAAATCTTGAATCCCAATTAAGAAAGCAGGGTTCTTTGGTGAAGTTTGGAGCAAAATCTTGAAACCCAATTAAGAAAGTTTGGTTCTTTGATGAATTTTGTAGCAAAATCTTGAATCCCAATTAAGAAAGTTTGGTTCTTATGTGAATTTTGTAGCAAAATCTTGAATCCCAATTAAGAAAGCAGGGTTCTTTGGTGAAGTTTGGAGCAAAATCTTGAAACCCAATTAAGAAAGTTTGGTTCTTTGATGAATTTTGTAGCAAAATCTTGAATCCCAATTAAGAAAGTTTGGTTCTTATGTGAATTTTGTAGCAAAATCTTGAATCCCAATTAAGAAAGCAGGGTTCTTTGGTGAAGTTTGGAGCAAAATCTTGAAACCCAATTAAGAAAGTTTGGTTCTTTGATGAATTTTGTAGCAAAATCTTGAATCCCAATTAAGAAAGTTTGGTTCTTATGTGAATTTTGTAGCAAAATCTTGAATCCCAATTAAGAAAGCAGGGTTCTTTGGTGAAGTTTGGAGCAAAATCTTGAAACCCAATTAAGAAAGTTTGGTTCTTTGATGAATTTTGTAGCAAAATCTTGAATCCCAATTAAGAAAGTTTGGTTCTTATGTGAATTTTGTAGCAAAATCTTGAATCCCAATTAAGAAAGCAGGGTTCTTTGGTGAAGTTTGGAGCAAAATCTTGAAACCCAATTAAGAAAGTTTGGTTCTTTGATGAATTTTGTAGCAAAATCTTGAATCCCAATTAAGAAAGTTTGGTTCTTATGTGAAGTTTGTTGCAAAATCTTGAATCCCAATTAAGAAAGCAGGGTTCTTTGGTGAAGTTTGTAGCAAAATCTTGAAACCCAATTAAGAAAGCTTGGTTCTTAGGTGAATTTCGTAGTAAAATCTTGAACCCCAATTGAGAAAGTTTGGTTCTTTTGTGAAGTTTGTAGCAAAATCTTGAATTCCAATTAAGAAAGTAGGGTTCTTTGGTGATTTTTGTAGCAAAATCATGAATCCCTGTTTAGAAAGTTTGGTTCTTTTGTGAAGTTTGTAGCAAAATCTTGAATTCCAATTAAGAAAGTAGGGTTCTTTGGTGATTTTTGTAGCAAAATCTTGAATCCCTGTTTAGAAAGTTTGGTTCTTTTGTGAAGTTTGTAGCAAAATCTTGGAACCCAATTAAGAAAGTTTGGTTCTTTTGTGATGTTTGTAGCAAAATCTCGAATCCCAATTAAGAAAGCAGGGTTCTTTGGTGAAGTTTGTAGCAACGTCTTGAAACCCAATTGAGAAAGTAGTGATTTTTGAGAAGTATGACTGATTATTACCCTTCTTAAGTAATGACTTTTCGAGGGGCTGCTGGCAGTTTTGATCATTCTTTAGTTTTTTAGCATTCTTGTGTGTGTAAAAAAAAAAAGGAATTCTGTGTTATGAATTTGGAAGTTATAGCAAAATCTTGAATTCCCTATTGAGAGGTAAGCAAGTGGTACTATGTCGCCTGATGTTTGTGGGTCTAGCTTGCTTTTAGCACTGCCTGATGACGTGTTTGCGATAGTAAGTAGATCACTTACACCAAGGGATGTATGCAATCTTGGTTTATGCTGTAGAAATCTCTATGATTTAGCTGCCTCTGACAAGGTTTGGCTTTCGCAATGTGATATGCTTGGGGTGGTTCCTCGTAGGGACCTTATTGAATGGCGAAAGGGACTCTGTTCCTACAAGGCGCTTTGTCGCTTTCTTGTAGGGATAAAGCCTTTGCTTGGTATTTGGGTTCATCAAAATCCTGAACTTGGCAATGTTGTTTATGTTATGCCTGGTTTCATATCAGTGGTCGGTTGTCGAATCATTCCCCAAGAACTCGGTCCTTTAGGCCTTGAAGAAGGGCCGATTTTGTGGTCACCTGTATTTGAAGTTGTTTCTGATTTTGAGGGCTCCGCTGCGTTTTTCCTCCACGGTAGGGAGAAAGGAAGTGATTATGTTTATCCAGGTTCACTCAAGAAGGTTGACAAGACTTGCAATGCACTTCTGTTAGAGGTTGAGCCTCTGCAGCAGAGTGGCGGGGGTAAGTTGTTTCACAGCAAGAGCTTTATTCATCCTTCGGAGAATGAGGTTTCACGGAAGATATGCAGGTCAAGTAGTGGGGTTTCTAGGTCAGAAAGGGTAACAGGACAGCATGCAACAGTAGTGCCCTTTGGCCGGCTTGCATTTGTTGATAGGAGAAAGTTGCTTGATACAGTTACTAACCAAATTCGTCAAATGCTGCCAGATGCTAACGATGTCATATTATTTCCTCGTCTGAGAGCAGAGGAGGCTGCTTTACGAGAGGATATGGAACTCTTGTATGAAAGAAGATCACTACTTATGCAAATGTACGATGGTGGTGGTTTAACCATCTGGAAGGCTGGTTCCGAGTTGCCTTTCCATCCTACTCATATTGGATTGAGTGAGTTCAGACAGAATCTTGATCTGATAAGTGGAGGTCCTGCATCACAAACTGCTGATGAGAGTCGGAGTCGGTGCACCAGGAGGAAGACGATTGCTGAATATGTTAGACACAGTCTGAAACATATACTCAAGAAGTCAGACTCAATCAACGGCAAGCTCGACCTTCTTAAAAAGAATTCCTCTGGCCACGGCAGTAAGCATGCCCAGCTTCACGAGTTCCTGCAACCAGGTGATGCAATAGGGCTAACATTACATGCTTCAACTGTGAAGTTATCCTCTTATCGTGCTTGGCCAAATATGCACGAAAGTAGATTTGCTCTCTATAAGTTGCCTGTGCGGGCGTCAGAAGCAGGCAAAGAATATGCTGGTCTGTGGGGAGGAACTTTTGGTTGGCCTCCCGGGAGGCCTTCTGATGACAAGCCCGGAAAGGCATTGTTTCTTCTTTTACTGTCATATGAGGAGTCCCAAGGGCAGAAGCTACTTATCGCAACCAAGATATTAGAAGGTACACATTATGTTCTGCATCCTAATGGCTCAGCTATGTTTATAGTGAATATCGACGAGCCTTCAAATGATCCATTCCCTTGGAGCACTGATGTGGACTGCAACCCTCTAGATGTTAAGCATGCTTTTGCGGGTGAAGGTATTGCTAACGGGTATGGTTTCAGATATCCTGGTTCAAAACCTGGTTCACTCTTTGTAATCCAAGATAAATTGCTTACTTTTATATGGAAGGAATCGCGGGCTGTGTTGACCTTACAGAGGCTAAATTTGCAAGAGCTATTGAGGAAAGGGGAAAGGATTCCGGCTCTACCACCAGTTTCCAATTTTGCATACCTTACCAGGTCCTATTCAAATGTTTTTGCTGGCTTCTCCAATGCCTCCAACGGTCAGGCTTAACCAAAGGTATGGTTTGACATCTGTAGTTATAGATTTGACGAGTTAGGCCCAAGGTTCATTTCTTCGCACAAATAAATGTAATATTGTTGCTGATGGATCGTTAAGATAATTATATATCTTCAAATAGAATTAGTTTCTGCCATATGTAGCAAAGAGAATAAATAAGGATCAAGCTTAGGTAATGTCAATGACCACCTGGATCTTCCAGCAAATTTTGGTTTTCTTTCCACAAAGATAGACTCTGGACTCGTATAAATATTTGATTGAGTCAAGTTAACCATCATACTCTTAAAAGTTTTTGGCATTTAACACATTTGGCTGGTCAGCCGAAAATAATTACAACTGCTGGCCAAATATACAAAAAATATACAATAATTATGCATAAAATATGTATATTATATATTAATTTACAACAAATATACATTTCCCGTTGTCTAAAAAGTGTGGATTTCCCAAAAAAATTCCAAGTCCAATTCAGAAGAGCAAAAATGGCCTTGTGCTTCACAAAAAATTGTTCAGTCTTTGTTGCTGCTATTCTTACTAGTTCTTGGATGGCTCTAGCAGGCGATCCAGATATCTTGACCGACTTCATTGTTCCTGAAAATCGGACTGGAGACACACTAGATGGAAATTTCTTCACCTTCACTGGCATGTGCGGAATATTTGGCAGCATTATCACAAACTTCAAAGTGACAAAGGCAAGCAAGGCAGAATTTCCAGCTTTAGATGGCTAGAGTACTTCACTTGCTGTCCTTCAGTTCCCTGGTGGGGGTGTGAGCCCGCCCCACACCCACCCTCGTGCAGCCGAGCTCTTATTCGTGGTGCAAGGAAGTCTCCAGTTTGGTTTGGTGGACGGTACTAACAAGCTCTACACTCGGACTTTACAATTCAGGGACTTGTTTATGTTTCCAAAAGGACTAGTACATTATCAATACAATTGTGATTGGAATAAATCAGCTATAGCTGTTTCTGCATTTGGTAGTGCCAATGCTGGAAGTCTGCAACTGTTTCACTTCCTCTACAACATTGTTTGCTACTGGTGTCGATAATCAGATTCTCGCGAAGTCATTCAAGACTGATGTTGCTACCATCCAGAAGATCAAGGCTGGTCTTTCATCCCAGGATTTCATTGTTGCTCGTCTAATTTCTAAATAAAACTTCACCTCTGAATTCAGTACTCATGTGCAAAAAAGATTCATATGTAATGTTTTCATTCTTTCTTTTGTTTGTTGGTAATCTTATCACTATGAAATTGGCTGTTCATTTTCTATTCATTTGTCCTTATCACTGATAAAGTTGTTGCCATGTGACCAGGAGATCACGGGTTCGAGCCGCGGAAACAGCCTCTTGCAGAAATGCAGGGTAAGGCTGCGTACGATAGACCTTTGTGGTTCGGCCCTTCCCCGGACTCCGCACATAGCGGGAGCTTAGTGCACTGGGCTGCCCTTCTTTTGTCTTTACAAGTTTCCTAGCAGTATGCAACTTTTAGTCTGCTGTCTAAAAAACCAAAGAGCTTATAACTACTAACCAATTTTGTTATAATCAATGCCCAAATAGCCACTCTTTTTTTATTTTTCCTTGTGTCCAACCAAAAGAAAAGAAAAGAAAAGAAATAAAACAAGAGAAGAAAAATGGCATGACATCAAAACTAGAAAAAGTAGAAAAGAATAACATTTCCCTTTGCTTCATTAATCTGAAAAATAGTTTCAGTAAGAATCATATTACAACTCAATCCATAAACAACAACAATATACCCAGTGTAATCTGACATTGTGGAGTCTTGGGAGGGTAAAGTATATGCAGACCTTATCCCTATCTTGTGGAGATAGAGAGGCTGTTTTTGAAACACTCTCGGCTCAAGAAAACAATTCTCAACAGGTTTGAATAGGAGAAACAACTCAATACATAAAAACAAAAAGAACTCATAAAACAAGAAAAAACATTACAACAATACTCAAATTTCAAATGCCAAAGAATCATTAAAGAAAGAGTCTCCTCTTGACCCACCCCCTCAAGAAAACAAAATACACAAAACAACACACAATTAATCATCAATAGACCCATGTCTCTCGATGTTGAGGTGGAAAGTTCAGACCCCATCAGTAGCGTATCATTTTCGTTCCCCTTCCAAAAAATACTTCTACTAATTGATCCCTAAAATAAAATGAATGGATTCTTGTTGTTCACAACCCTACATGATTTTCTAACCTCTCCTTGTGTTCCAATGAGTACTTCAACTTTACCTAATTTCACCATAGCTTCTCCAAACTTAGTGTAAAAATCAGACCCTTTGACTATACTATCCACAGTTTTATTTGTCAATGGATCTAATGCTATTTGCTGATCAATTTCAAGAACCCCATTTCCCCATTTAATTTGTTGATAAAATGAGTTATCAACAACTGATGGAGTTCCCATATCAAGAGGAACAGAATTATCAAAGTTTGAACTTTTAGGACACTGCATTCTTAATGAGGATAACATCAATTTGTTCATGGTTGGATCAGGTCCACCTGTTTTCTTGTAGTTGTATAGTCTATCTTGGAAGTTTGAGCAATGAGCAGTTCCAACAGTGTGGCCACCTGGGATTAAAAACCATACATTAATTATTAATTCTTGAAATAGAGAACATTTTAAAGCATTCAAGGGCGTGCCCTGTCGGTCAATAAAATGAGCGAAAAAATGTTAAGTAATTTCTTCTCATCTAGCTATGCGTACTGCGTTAGTTGGTAAGTTGCAAGTATCCGATGAAATAGTTGAAGTGCATGCAAGCTGGCTTGGATGCATGTTATAGGAAAATGCAGAATAAAATGAAGGATTGAAAAACAAAGAACGTTCACAAGGGTGTGAACCAACGGCCAGTAAAGTAGGATGTAAATCATGGGAGATTGTGATTTAAATCTCAGTAAAAGCAAATAATGTTAGGTAATTTTTTTTCATCTGTCTAAGACCAGGTGGGTAGAGTTACTGATACCCACGTTGATGGAAGGTAACAACTATGTGGTGAAATAGCGGAGATATGACAGACTGATCCAGTATAGAGAGGCAGAACTATGTTATATCAAAAGGGGCCACAGGAACCCGTAAAATTCTGCAAAACTTCCATGTATACATGTATATTTAGAAAATAGTGATATATTAGCGGTAACACCCTATATACGAAGCAGATTTTGGTTGAATTCGAAAGTACACCCGCGACCTTCAAGTCCGCCTCAATAAATTTAAAGAAAAAAAAAAGGAAAGTTCAAAAAGAAAAGACCGGAAATTACCTAGAAGATAGACCATATCTGTTGCATTAAGCCCTTTGCTGGCAAAAACATTAATGGAATCAGAGACTGAAATGGATGGACCAGGAAGATTGACATTTGATGCAAGGGAAACACTCCCGTCTCTTCGTCCAGTTTCTGCATTGTACCATTTTCCTCCACTCTGTTACATTTTTATAATCAAAACTGGTATTAGGATGTGCATGTCACAACAACAACTATAACAACAGACCCAATGAAGTCTCATAACTAGCGTCGTTGGAGGGTAGTGTGTACGTAGACATTACCCTACTTGGGAAGGTAAAGAGGTTGTTTCCGATAGACATTCGGCTCAGAAAGACGGAAAGAAACAGTCGAAACAAGCAATATCAACAACAAGGGCCAGAAAGATAGTAATAACAAATTAAGAGCCAAAAAATAGATGGAAGAAAGCAGTATAGTAATAACAAATTAAGAACCAGAAAATAGATGGAAGAAAGCAGCAGCAACAAGCATTGATCCCAACAAGATACTAAGAAATCGACGCGGAAGGTATTAGGAAAACAACATGGAAAACTAGTAATCTAAGAACAAGAAAAACTACCAGACTAACCCTAATACCACCAGAAGGGGGTGCACCTCACAAGAAGAGAAAAATTCCAATTTAGTTATTTTATTTTTCAAGTTACATATTATATTTGTTTTTATAAACAGTTACACTATTAGTGCACAGAACTATTAAAACGTTAATATTTCAACTCATTAATTATCTTGAACACTTGTAACAACATCCGCGAACAACTCGGTAAATTAAACTGTTCTTGAGAGGGGAAACAACAGCTGAAAACGGCTGCTAATACCTAAGTTAAGGAGCAAAAACCGACCAAGTCAATTTTATATAAATGACAAGAGGGGTTGCTCTGATGGTAAGCAACCCCAACTTCCAATCAAGAGGTTGTGAGTTCGGGTCATCCCAAGAGCAAGGTGGGAAGTTCTTGGAGGGAAGGATGTCGAGGGTCTATTTGGAAATAGCCTCTCTACCCGAGGGTAGGGTCAGGTCTACAAACTACCCTCCCCAGACTCCACTAAGTGGGATTATACTGGGTTGTTGTTGTTGTTGTTATTGATAAACTGATTCGACTGGACGCTCCTTGAAAATAGAAAATCTCAAATAATGGAAGTGATAATGGAGAAGTGATGATTAAAAGTGATGAAATAGAATGCAATTTACCAAGAGAACAGCATCTCTAGTTGCCAGAGAAATAATGTCAGCACAAGAGACCTCTGCACCTTGGCATTCTGTATCTAAAGCTTGTTTTATAGCATCAATGAGTTCATATCCTCTAACACTTTTATTTGCTCCTGCTTTTTTCTCGCTGTTGTTTCCATCCAATAGAATTGATGCATCACAACCCTATATTCATATCATGTACATAACATTAGCTCATTAAAAAGGTAATAATAGAAGAATGTACCACAAATATTAATTTCATGAAGAGAACATAGATCTCTATTACTATCGGTTGTCTTTTTTGCTTTGGTTGTCTTATTATCATGTTATTGTTATTGCTTTTTTTTTACTGTTTCTTTTTACATGGCTTCTCTATTAATGCATTTCGTTTCAATTATATTGTGACTATGTTTTTTTTGAGTCGAGGGTCTCTCAAAAACAGTCTATCTACCTTCACAAGGTAAGGATAAGGCGTATGTACGCACTACCCTTTCCAAACTCTCCACTTGTGGGATTACACTGAGATTATTGNATATATAGTTGCAAATTTTTAGAAAATTTGTATTATTTCAAAGCACATTGTCGTGGTGAAGAAATACTCATTATGTCTCACTTTATGTGTTACTCTTTTTTTTTTATTCTGTTTCAAGAAGAATGTCATACTTTAAATTTAAAAATAATTATAACGTTAACTTTCCATTTGGACCCTCAATAATATGATTTTATACCTAAAAAAATATCATAACATGTTTAAAACCACAAGTTTTAAAAACTATTTCGTTATTTCTGAAACTTCGTGCATAGTTAAAAACATTCACATGAAATCAAACGAATGGCGTACTGCAGTTGTACTTCACATTCCTCACTAAAAATTTTATATCCGCCTCTCTTATAGAGGCGAGCCTGCATGTTATAGTGAGAGGTTATTAGACGACGTGAGCATCGGCAAAAATTTTGTATATATATATATATATGTATATACCTTGAAAATAATTAATTTAAAGCACTTAGCACCCTGAATACTAAAAGTCTTTAGCAGGCACTGATTGAGCAGAATATTGCGCCTACGCCGCGTAAAATTTTGGGTCCGCCTCTGCTCTCTTACATGAGTACGCATAAAAAAGGTGAAGAAGAAGAAGAAGAAATTGTAAAGATAGTATTCTTACATTAACAAAGCAATCATGGAACTGCATACGAAGAAGAGCAGCTGCAATAGTTTTATCCTTTGTAAAACGCCATGATTTTACAACCTCTCGTACAACACCTTCAACATCTTTTTGCCCACATTTTATTCCTTTATAAAATCCAACTCGAAGTTGTCCATAACAATGGCCAGAAAATAGTCCCAAAAATAATACAATAATTAGTGCTACTGCTTTCGACATTTTGCAAATGAATTATCTTTTTTTTTCGTTTTCTTAAATGTGAGTGAAAGAAAACACATTTGATGTTCTTATTTATAATGTTCATTAATTAAGGATACAAAAGTGCAACTTGAAATTGTTAATGCTCTGCACGACCATTTCTATGAGACTAAAATAACGTGCCTTCATGTTCTTGAAAAAAATGATTGTTGTAGCTTAACTTAGTGTGTGTTAATATTCTAGATAATATTATCTTTTAAAAATCCAAGCTTTTATCATTTTTCTAATTTTCCATATCTCTGATTTGATTTGCTTCCTATTATTTTATCTTGATATGATGTATGAACGTTTGCCATCTGTCCTCGTGAATAGTGGCGGATCCAGAATTTTTATCAAGGAGTGTCAAAATATAAAAAATTAGATACATCAAAAAATCAAGAGAGTCAACGTATAGCAAATATACATAAAATAAAATAAAAATTATCTAGTAAAGTAGTGCAATTTGCCGACGAAAAGGTGTCGTTTGATACCCCTTGGTTCAATGTCTCATGAACCTAAGTTCTTCTCCTCCTGCCTTTTGCCGTCCAGGATAATGGCCTGCAAGTCTCTGAAATATTAAGGGTCACGTGGTCCCAATATAATTGTGTTAGTGAAAAATAGATTCGCCACGTAGGTCGATTAAATGATGACACGTGTCAGCGAAATGATGAATAACATGTAAAAAATAATACTTCCTCCGTTTCAATTTATGTGAACTCATTTGACTGGGCACAGAGTTTAAGAAAAGAGAGAAGACTTTTGATCTTGTGGTGTAAAATGAGGCACATATATTTTGTGTGGCTATAAATCATTGTGTAAAGGTAAATTGTTTTCAAATAAGGAAAGGGGTCATTCTTTTTGGCACGGACTAAAAAGGAAATAGGTTCGCATAAATTGAAACGGATGGAGTATGTGAAACATTCTCGGAGTTGAAAAAATTGATACCGTACATGTTAGTCTCATAACTACACATAAGAGAATAATCTCGGACATGATGGAAAGGGTCATTAATAGGCACGAATAAGGAAAGAATCAATCAATCCTGGACTACACGAGATTTGTTATTATTTCTTCATCCGTAACAAATCAACTATGTAATAAACAGTTAATAAATGACAGTAACGAGCATGAGCTAGACTATTCAATTATTCTCTCAATCGCGTTGTTTACTCTTCGCTCTCTATTTCTGGCAAATTATTATTGAGTTCATACAGAAGAAAAGCTACAAACTTCAATAAGATGTCAATTTACTTTTATCTCTCAATTTGTTCCTTTTTTCTATTTGTTATTTTTCATAATATTTATATTTGAAAAGGTGAAATAAATTGGTTGTTAGTGACTTCAAAAAAAAATTAATTGTTTTGATCACAAAAACTATTTTCAGATTAAACAATAACTGAAAATATGAAGTTGGTTATAAGCCCAAAGACATTTGTGGAAACATAAATAAACGTAACATGAAATTAATGTCTTATGCACATAACTTATCTTTCACAATGGCACCTCTAAAGACGTACATAAGAATAAAAATATTTGGGACTCAAGGGTGTAGAATGGATCTACAGTATTGGGTATGGGTTCTCGAGAAATCAGTAACTTTTATCTAAACCTTATATTTATACTGAAAAATCTATTAAATATATTATTATTTTTAGCTTGGAACCCAAAACTAAAATCAGTTGTTGGTTCAGCAAAGGAGGAACCAACTTAAGCTATGTTCCTGAATAATTGATGAAGGGTTGAATCCCATTGTGTACTTTTTAACTTCACTTTTGTTTTTTTCACAAAACAACACCGGCAGACACTTTTGTTTATTTTTTTCTTTTGAAAACATACCAGCCAGATAAATAAAAAATTGTCTACTTGCTGAAAGCATCACTTTTGCCCAAATCAGTTATTATTGTTTTGTCTAATTATTATTGTATATTAATTTGTGATCGCTGAAAATTTATAAGGTTCAAAATTTGGATCCGCATATGTGGGACACACCCCGACTTATAAAAGATTAGATGTCTCTGACTATCAGTGGCGTAGCCACACTATGTTAAGTGTGGTCAAGCGAACACCTTCGTTGAAAAATTATATTATATAAATCAAATATTATTTTATATATATATATATATTACACTCTTAATATAGTTGATTAAGGCAGTTCAGCAGTCCAGATGTTCAAAGTGATGTGTTGTTCGGGAGTTCAAAGTTATTTGCCCATTTATTTGCCAAAACTAAACGGAGACTACCGTGTGAAGTCTATTTGACTCTTTTTCAAATAGTTTATATCATTTATCGACAAAAAAAAATTATTGACTTGTTTAAAGTTGAGCATCCCTAGGGAAATTTCTAGGTACGTCACTGTTAACTATTACCTATGTCATGACTCCAAATCCACTAGTCGTAATGGAACTTAACCCAACCCGCTAGGTAAGCCAACTAATAACTATCCAATTTCAATAATATTAATAAGGCAATTAAACAAAAGGAATTATCTGAATCTTATACATTTCCCAAGGACTTGTAGTACAAATCATGAGCTCCTAAGAATAGAGTTTACAAAGCTGATATGAAGTAAATACATTATTTGTTTAAAAGTACATAAACAAAGTTTTATAAATCTAAGGCTACCATGAACAAGAGGCAGCTGCAACCGGAACGCAGGTACATCTTCGATTCCAGCTCTCGTCGACCACAGCAATGTCAGCAGTCAACATCTCCACACAAGGTGCAAAAGTGTAGTATGGGTACAACCGACCCCATGTACTCAGTAAGTAACAAACCTAACCTTAGGTTGAAAGTAGCGACGAGCTGGAACATAGGTCGGGTCCAACACCAATAACCAACAACAATTCATAACAATGCAAGGCAAGTAATAAAAGAAGTAACTCGGAATTTAAAATGCTTAGCGTATTCATAATTCCCGAAAATAGTTCCGATTTTCAAGTATATTAGTGAAAACACAAATTCTTTACCGAAATCGTCGAAAAATATGAGATAGTTTGAAATCTGTAATTTTTTCAAAAATCCTTTCCAAAGTAATTAAGATGTTTCATTTTCTTTCCAAATAGCAAGTGTGAAATATCTCTCTATGCCCACGTATCAATATGTGTGAAAAGTCATGAATGATGTGATACCGTACAGTATGAGCAAAATACATCTCTATGCTTGTATGGTATGTGTACATGTCAATGCCATATATCTTAGAGATGAACTCATGTACCCACACTCTCAAAGTACTCAATCTCACTACCTCATACTTTCCATTCATCATGCTCAATCACTCAGTATTGTATATGGCCAATCTGGCCCAGGGAAGATCTATCCCCGAATATATACATCAACTGACCCATAGTCACTCAGTACTGAGTAAAGGCAAATCCAGCCCGTAGGGAAGATCCATCCCAGGTATATAAATGCTTCGGACAAGATCCATGTCCAAGGAAGATCCATCTCTTAATATAATCTACTGCGCTCACTGAGGGTGCGTACAGACTCTGGAGGGGCTCCTACAGTCCAAGCGCTATCATAACATCAGTATAACCACTGCGGCGTGCACCCCGATCCAATAACTATCACTCATAATCAAGCTCTCGGCTTCACTCATCCATCAATCTCTCCAGTCTCACTCACGGGCTCACAATGTCATGAAACTAGCCCGACAACAATGATATGATGTATTAATTAATAACAATTGAGACTGAGATATGATATGATGTATCAATAAATAACAACTCAGACTAAGATATGATATGAATGCATGAATATGACTGAGTACGAAATATCAATAAAATTAGTGAAATGACAGCAAGAAACGACCATTATGGGTCCCAAGAGTATCGGGAAAAAGCCTAAACATGATATCTAGCATGATTGACAGCTCAATTACTTTATCACATGGTGAAAACACGGATATCAACAAAATAAGAGCATTATGCAATGCCATGAAAACAATAGAGTCACAATTCACATGGTGCACGCCCACACGTCCGTTATCTAACATGTGTGTCACCTCAATACCAATCACATAATATGTATTTCGGGGTTTTATACCCTTAGAACTAAGTTTAGAAGTGTTACTTACCTCGAACAAGCCAATTCCAATAAAGAACAAGATAAGCGATGCTCCAAAAATGCCCGCGCGTACCGACCTTCGAACAGCTCGAAACTAACCAAAAAGAACTCAAATATATCAAACAATGCTAAAGGAACCAATTCCAAATGATAAAGATCGAATTCTTAATCAAAACCCAAAACCAGCCAAAAATCACACTCGGGCCCGCGCCTCAGAACCCGACAAAACTCACAAAATTTGAGAACCCATTCAATTACGAGTCCAACCATACTAGTTGATGTGTGGCTATAATTTCATAGTTTCGTACATTACTTGACTTGCATTTTATATGCTTTAATTATAAATTACATTTTATTTGCGCGTAATGGAGTCTATTTTATGTGTAAGTGAATTGAAGATAAAAGTAGAGCAAAAGGGATACTTAAACGTTGAAAGTGTGCTCGAGAACGGTGAAAAGAAGAGGCCAGGCTTTAGCCTGGCGAGGCCAGCCAAAGGCCAAGTCCAGTCCGAGTTTTGAAGACTTAATTTGTTTCCCGGCTTGACTATGACTTGGCCTACACATTTAGGTCTTTTCCTACACATATAAATAGACCTAAAAACGTCACTTTTGACATAATTTAGACCTAAGGAGGCTAAGAAGATCGGGGATTCGACCTAAGGAGGCAAGAACACACTAGGAGCAAAGCGAAGGATTCTTCTACGAGTTTTTCACTTCTTTCTTCCTATTTCCATTATTGGTTATGAATTATAGTATTGTAGTTATGCATACTATTATGAGTAGATAATTTGTTATCTAGGGTTTTGATGTAACATATTAGAGGATGATTTTCCTGCTACGTTAATATAGATTTGATGTAGTATTTTCTCTATTTGTTCAACTATGTTATTATTGTGGTTGGTTGAAGAGATCTAAATCGACTGTGCCTATTTAAT